AAATTTAATAAAAGAAAATCACTAGACTAGAACTTATTGGTAAGAACTAGACACCAGATGTCTGCTACATATTATAACATTTTGCAGAGCTGACAGAACGCGATAGTGCATCCCAACACGCAGACTGCTCCTCCCTTCCTCGGTTCCAGTTCGGCTTCCCGCGTGATCCGTGGGCACATCTTGGAGGAAGGATGAATGGAGGAGCCCAGCGCGGCCGCGGGCACCGGTGGCGCTTCCCACACACGGTGACGCTGCTCCTCAGCCAGGGTGACGCCGCGACACCGGCGCTGCTCGTGTTGACAGGCAGGTTTGATCTGAAACAGTGGCCTCAGACAGGACGAAGAGAAAAGGCTGCGAGGCCAAGCGAGCGCTTTTCCCTTGGGAAACGCTGGCAACTGCTCTGCAGAGAAAGCCACACTATTGATTGATTTCTATTTCTTTATATCCTTCCAGGCAGCAAAGCTCCTTCTCTCATGCGTTGCCACAGAAATACAAAATAAAAGAAGGAGCGAACAGTGTTCCGACAACCTCTGCGACAAGCCATGAGATTAGGAGACAAAAGTGCAAGAAGCAGCAAAAGCAACGGGTTAGTTCAGCTCTCCTGTTACGTGGGGGGAAGCAAGTAGTGCTGCAGTGCTTGGATAAAGAGTGAAGCACATGGCTTGCTATCCACTCATCATCAGCTCTGCCATGCAAAGATTTTTCAGTAAAAATGAAATAAACCGGATAATCTGAAAGACGGGTCATCTTTTTCTTTATGAATATATATGGAATACTGTTGGAATGCTTGCTGGATGCACACTGCTTTATCTTTAAAGTGAGTACAAAACTATTCCAGAACTTGATAGACCACTCTTAACATTCAGATTTTTTCCCCTCACCGAGTACTGTCAGATGCTGCAAATGAGCTTCCCAACCAAAATTCAAAGCAGCTGTTACCACAGTATCTCCCCGTAATGGCTGAACAAATAGTATATTCCCTAAAACATTTCAGATTGCAAGAACAAAAGAGCTCAGCTGTTTTGCTATGCCTGTAGCACAGCCCGTCTCCATGAAATAGCTGATGCTCGTCCAACGTTCAAGAAGTTCAGCGCTCGGCCCCAAGGAATCTTCCCCAGCAGGAAGGATGCCAAGGAGGCCGAGCCAACGTGACCAGACCAGGAGGTTTTTCACCTGAAATCTCTTCCGAGATTTTTATGGTGAAGAAAGTATGTTTTCAAGGAACTTAAAATTGCTCTGATCTGAAAACACCAACAGCCATTCCCCTTATGTCTAGAAACATTCCCAGCCCAAGCACCGGGGAGCAAGTTAACATGGCAGTTAGCACAAGCCATAGCAAATAAAAAACATTTACTCTTTATGAGGGGGAAAACTGCATTTGGACCCTCCAAATAAAAAACATTTACTCTTTATGAGAGGGAAAACTGCATTTGGACCCTCCACTTCAGTTAAGTCTCAAAGATATAACTACTTACACCAGACAATCACTGTGCTGGCAACACAAAAATCCATTCTGAGATTTCACCTCATGGGGAAGGTAAGAAAACACGCAGCAACGGCAGCAAGAACCACACCAAAGGCTTCCCGTGCCCAGGAGGGGAGATAAACGGGATCCTTCCCGCCTTCCCCAAGCTCTCCAATCGCTTCAACAGTTCTACAAAGTACCACTGTCATCTTTGAGAAGTACAAGTCAAAGCTTCCTTCTCATAGCAGGAAGCATAAACCAGGAAAAAAAATAACTAAGACAAAAATATACAGTTTAACTGTTTAGTAACTGGCTAAAATGGTGTTTTGTGCTAATCCATGTTGGACTGGACATTTTTAGATTGAAAAATTGGACTTAATACATACGCTACAAGTAGAGATTCAAGTAGTGAAGACTAACTGAAGCTCAGGAGCCTCACTCATTATTTCACTTTGATTTCTTTAGTCTCATTTTAAAGACTGGAATGAATGAGAAGATTTGGGGGAGTAGCAGCGGAAATACATGTATTTATATCAGATGGCCTATGGAGCACAGTAGGAAAAAAATCCAAAACTGGTCAGTGCTGGCTCTTGAGGTTTGGTTCCTACTTCTCACCATCCATGTTCCCTAAAACAGTTATTTACCCAGTTTTGTGGGTTTCCAGGAACACGGGTCTTCTGCTGAATTCTGACAAAACACTGATGGTTTTGGTACCTTCTGGCTTGCAAGCGATATCCAGTTCCTTCCGGACAGCAGGGAATCAAAAGTGTTGGTGCTCTCCCAGGCACTTGGCTCATGGTGGCCAGGAGTTACCCTCTCCCACAGCAGGACGTGCAGAGGGCATCTTCATCAAACCATCCTCCTCCTCCTGCTATCCCCTTCGGTAAGCACTAACGAAGGTCTAAGTACACCGCAGTAAGTGCTGACTTTCCAGAGACAGAGCTGGCGCTCCAACTCTCCTAATATCACCAGCTCAGTCACTACACAAAGAGCTGGAGCCATCAAAAAACGCACCTATGTCAAAGAAGAAGGAAGGAAGGGGCTTCAGGGCTTTGGCCCCAAATCCCTTCCTTTCCAGGAAGCTGGAAGCACCAAGTCAGCTGGCAGAGATAACGCACGGTCCGTCTTCTGACAACTCTGCTTCAGGGAGATCTTTGTTTTCACTTTAAAGCACCTTTCAATAAATACATTCCAAATGTATATGAATGTGTGTATTCCAGAAGGTTTATTTTCCTGCCCTCTGTGGACGGCCAAGGCCAGAAAGACAGACCCGGGCTCAAGGCAGCTGGCGTGGTGCACCCTGGCCCAACTTGGCCCCGCACCAGCACAATACGTACCTAGAAAGAGCTATAAAGCTAGGAGAGCTATAAAGGAAGCTGGGAACTTAGCAACTTTGAGGAAATCTTGTAAAAAAAAAAAAATGCAGCTATACAACATCCAACCTTACCCCATTCTCCTAGTGCCTACATCAGGCAAAGACGACCCTAACTCCCCTTGTTCCTACACACACAGACGTTCAGCAAGGAAAACAGGGAGTTACTACTTCCCTCTTACTTGAGCCCAGAACACAACATGCAGCAGACCATTAATTGTGTAGTTAATATTGCATTAATATTGAACTACTGAGAAGCTCAGAATCAAATAGCAAGTGCAGCAGAGAGCTCTGTCCTCTCTGGGCACTAAGATGCGGTGCTTCCCAAAGCCTTTAGCAAACAGCACCGCGGTGCTGATACAGTCTAAATCCGCGGAATGACAAATCACTGCAAAAGGAAAAAGCTTCTCAGATCCATATTCTCTGCACAGATATACTTTGATCACTCTTTGATTAAACTGGAGAACACGGCCTCCTCAGAGAAGTTTATGAAGCGCAGATTATATCAACCTCGTTGTGGTGTATCTCATTTTGCAGACTAATAACGCTCCAAGGAGGAGCCTCAATGGCAAAGGCTGCCGAGCAGGACCTGGCTCCGGGGAAAAGGGACTGAGCTCATCAAATGGGACTATTATCACTCGGACTCTTTGTCCTAATTACCTTGGAAGGGACCCAAACAGGGCATTTTGTTTTCAGATTTAGCATAAGCAATTCTGTAACTTCAAAATATAAAGGTAAATAAATTGCTTGCTTCCAAAAAACTCCGTGCGCTTCCAAGATCCTCCTACAGCAATCTAATATTGATCTTTATTATAAAAGGACATAAAGGCAGGCAGTACGCTAATAAAACACCACAATATATCCCAGCATGATTTAAGATGTGCTTCTACACGAAGTCCAGAAAAGCTCACCCACCCTGAGCATTATGTGCTTGGATTCCTTCCCTCTTCTGAGATCTAAAAATTTACTTCAATTAAAATAATAATAATAATTTTGGCTGCCCATTCATATTTCTTCTCAAGTCTTCCAAAAATATTAACATATATGCAAGCACCAGCTAAGTAAGCAGGCAGCATCTCATTTATGACTTAGACACACTGCAAACACCTCAGAGGCTCCGTCTTCATCAAGCTCTCAGTAGCATCCAGTGTAAACATCAACAACGAGAACAGGCAAATAACTCCACAGGGTCTAGTAGAAAGGGAGAAGTCTCTTAACTTGAACGCAAGGCACTACCCAAGGAGCTCCAAGCAGTTTAAGTAATGCACTGCAAACAGGAAAATACATTTAAGCCACTAACCCTGCAGATCTACGTAATGAGGACTAGAACCACAGACAAGTGGGTAACCATCTCGGGAACTAAGCAGAGAACGCAGCACGTAACCAAGCAAGTAACTGTGAGAACCTCCACAAACGTGGGTGTAGGATGCTGCTCCACACAGAGCCATTAAAAGTTTCAGAGGGAATCAACCACTGGGCAATTCATGAAGGATATTCAACACGTCAGTGGCCTTTCCCTTTGGAATCCATTCATATAAACACAGAAAGGCTGAACAACACAGTAAAGGTTGCAGGAGCTCAAGATCTATAAAACCAGAGGTAAATCCACAAACCATCTGATCTGAAATCTGCAGAAGTAAAAATCAGCCCAAGAAATTTAAAATAAAAGTTAGGCTGACTGCACTTGGAAACGCAGCCCATCAATCACTCAGAACCAGTACTTCTAATACAACTACACTTACAAATGAAGCCCAACAGAAACTTCTATCGACTTACAAATTGGAAGAAAAAAATAAACACAATGAAAAACAATCCCTTCACAGGAATTGTCATCTTACCTCCCAGTAGGTCTCATTTTCCTTAAAATGGGGTTATTTTGCATTAGAAAATAATTTATATTAATCAATTGAAGAAAAGTCATTTAGATTATTTGCAAAGCAAGGGAAAAATGAATGGTAAATTAAACCATCATTTACTTTACTATAATGACAGATTTCAGGATTTAAAAACACAAAGAATCACGTGATTCAAAAATTTGAAATAATTCCATTAAATTTATACAAAGTATCAGATACTAGAAAGTCATTAATTACCAAAAATGTTGAAGAACACTAAGTCATGCCCTGATAGCATTATAGTTACAGTATTCGTCGTTTCACTTACCCAAGCTTTGCGCCATATATCTCCTTCTCTTTGCCTTTGCCTTTCTCTTTCTCTCTTACTTTTTCTTTCTCTCTGCCTTTACGCCGTTCTCTTTCACGAGACCCGCTATGAGTTCTCCTAGGCCCGGATCTTTCACTACTTCGACTATAAGATCGTTGACGAGGTCTTGATCGTGATCTACACAAAATCCATAGTATTAAGATTTAGCAATCATACATTTTTCCACTGTCATTGTATTTAGATTTGTTATATAGTCCAACTATTTAGAAAACAGATTTTTCTAATTAATATTTTTAAACAAAAAACCTACCTTTTTTTTTTTTTCCCAAAGAATAAAAATAATTATGGCTGAATTCGAAGTGTGCTGCCTCGGAAGGAAGGCTACAGAATGAATTACACTGCCCTACACAGTCCTATACAATACATGTGAAGGAAGCAGTCATTAGAGCTACTGGAGAAGGACAGGAATTTTTTCCTGAACATTAATTCTTTAAATCAAGTCAAATTAACTTGTCAAATACTTAACGAGTTACCAAGAAAAGCAATTGTATGCCAGCAAAAATCAGGACAATACGAGTGAGACGGCCAAACCCGTAGCTTTGGCTCGCAGCACTGGTGGTTCCACCAGCCCTTCACAAGGGATTCAGGTTGGAAACACGGCGTGCCGGAGGCCCACGAGCGCGGCCTCCAAGCCCCTACGAGGCCAGAGGATTCGCCGTTCTCAACGAGGTTCCACTGCTCTGCAACAAATGGGCTGGCACTCATATACTTGAGTGAAAAAAGATCAAGTGGTATTACAATATGACTGCTCATATTCATAGCTGAAAACACCTTTTGTGAATCCCGTATTTCTTTTGGATTTTTTAAAAATTTATTATTGTGTAACATCATTAAAGATTTAGCAACAAACATTTTAAAGGTAGCTACAAACACCACATATTTATGAAAACAGCCATTCAGGCTTCCATTTGTTCCTGTTCCATTGCACATCTTCATAAAAGTCCTGAAGGCACCTCAGCAAAAAGTTTCATTAAGTACTGAGAGTATTTTAGAGTGTGCATGTTTATTAAATAATATAAAAAAAATGTTTAGGACGTCTTGGACTGCAAACCCCCCAAAGCCTTTAAAAGCAGGCTCATGTACAAAAGATCACACAAGGTAAGAGGCAACAACTGTTTAATAAAGCCCAGCAACAGAATAAGCAGCAAAGAATAGCACACCCAGATGAAGCTATAAATTCAATTTGGGAAGAATGTTGCTATTGAATCTGGAGTTTGTCCAGCGCTCCGGGGTTAACATCCCTATTCCCTTCAGCGTGGCTGGGGGTCACAACCCCCGTCTTACATTTCCTTCAGCAGATGGCATCTCCTGCAACCCAATATGTCCTATTCTCGGGCACGGATCACATTACCGCTTAAGCGTGTGGTATATTAGTAACTACAGAACATTTTCTGTCTCAAAATGGATTTTATTGCGTCACCACAGCCAAAAGGAGCTGTTCTGTTCTGCAGCCGCGGGTTGCTGGGCACGGGCAGTGATGTGCAGTGCCCTCTGGGCCCGCGTGAAGCGAGATGGCGCCTCAGCACCCTCAGCGCTCCCCTCAGCACCCCCAGTGCCCAGTGCTCCCCTCAGCGTGCCCAGCGCTCCCCTCAGCGCCCTCAGTGCCCAGTGCTCCCCTCAGCGTGCCCAGCGCTCCCCTCAGCGCCCTCAGTGCCCAGTGCTCCCCTCAGCGTGCCCAGCGCTCCCCTCAGCGCCCTCAGTGCCCAGTGCTCCCCTCAGCGTGCCCAGCGCTCCCCTCAGCGCCCTCAGTGCCCAGTGCTCCCCTCAGCGTGCCCAGCGCTCCCCTCAGCGCCCTCAGTGCCCAGTGCTCCCCTCAGCGTGCCCAGCGCTCCCCTCAGCGCTCGCCACGGGCGAGGGATACCCAAGAAGCCAACGCCGCCTGTGCCTGGAAAGCTTGGACCTTCACAGCCTCGATCCATATTTCTGCTTTCCGAGCTACACTTTGCAATTGCAAGGAACCACAAATTCCATTTACGCCAGGTGGATGCCCAAGTGCGAGATTTCTATTTGTTCACGTCTAAGCAAAATAAAGTGCAGGTATAATTTAAGCATAGAAGGACATTAAAAAACACAAAATAAACGTGCTCTCTCAGATTAGCAACTGTGTATTCCTAACAAGAAACACACTGATAAACATTTTCCTTACAGAGGTTGTCCCTGTTCTCATGTTTGCTCTTTTGCACTCAATAAAACTCATTAACATAGAGCGATTATTAAGCATTGCTCAACCTTCAAGGCTTATAAACAACACTGAGCTTTAGTTATTTATTTATACTGATTACAAAGAGTATCTATACTGCACATAGCAATTACCACCACTCTGGAAATCCAGAGAGTGATACTAACCTCAGTCTCGGAATTAGGAAAGGAGGGACAGGAACGAAGTGATCAGGGGAAAACTGAGAAAACCAGAAGGGAATAACTAACACCCCCAGCCCATTAGTGTCCAGGGCACGAGTGAAACTTGTATCCTCCAGCTAATTCCTGTACCTGGGACAGATCCTTGTGCTCCAGTGCCACACAACCAGGATTATTTTGGAAAATGTTTACCTTGTATTAACATTTTTCCTTCACAAGCTAGTCTCCTAAGAGAAGGAAAGCCAAGCCAACCTGGGCAACCACAAAATATAATTTTGTTAATGAATTTAAGATGCATCTCAAACTCTAATTCAGGTTTTCTGTTAGCCTGTGAGAAAAAGATAGTCATACAGGACCTCTCAAGCATAAGATGTCAGTTCTTACAGTTATTTGCTTAACAGAACAGTTTAGTGAAGTGATTTAAGAGTTGAGTCACATTATATAATTCTACCACACTTTGTGGAAATAAAACACAGAGACTGCATACTTAAAGACAACAGGCATAAGATGGCAGAATAAAACTATTTGCAACATAAATCTCAAACAATTGCATCTCATGATAAAAATAACTTCTGTCAGCAATACTTCTAAAACTGCAAGACTGCAGCAGCCATAAACCTTGCAAGAGCTGCAGAGCTGGGGCAGCAGGAGCCCAGTCCTCTTGCTCTCAGCTACAGCAGCGCTGGAGGGAGCTCCGGCTCTCGGTGAAGCGCCCCAGGAAACCATGATGAGCAATGACCAACTCAAAAGCCACAGTTACCTGAAATTAAGAGTGAAACCTGCACCACTTCTTGCTCGGATGCATGATCTGCCTCTTCAGGGCATGAAAACATGACAAGTCCTGAGAGCAAGTCTCAAAGGGCAAGCGGGAACCGTAAAACACTTAGGAAAAAAGGGCAATGATTTTTGCCAACAAACTGGTTTTCCCTGCATTCAGCTGAAAACAAATATATGAATTAAGGTTGGTGTTTCCCCAGTCTTTATTAAATGCTTAAGGAGGGCCTGACCAACAAATGAAGAGACTCACTTTGTCATTCAAAAAAATGCAGTAAGATGTAATCACCAAAGAGGTTAAAAGAAGAAAGCCAAACAGATTAAACAGAAAAAAAAGGAAGTGTACGAGTTTATCTAGTCATCAGAGTTCGGAATCATTACATAAGTGAAGCTGAAGAGATTAGATCCATAGCAACAAGAGAGAGGTACCCAATGCCTTACACTGGTATTCGGAAGGCAACAAAAGACCACAAAAACGCATCAAAAGCCACCAGGAGAAATCGCCAAGCACCCTGGTGCCCAAGTCAAGGGCACCTGCCTGGGGCAGGGGGGTTACATTGCCGGTTACACGCCACCCTCCCACCAAACATACGTATAAGACACGCACGCCGCGTGTGCGTAGTCCACGCTCGTGCTGCGTTTTCATTTTACTCGTAAGCACTCCTGATGCAAACTACTACTTCAGTTCCCCCTTATATCCACCTGCTCCAAGACCCTTGGTATCCAACACCCACCTAATTTTCCTCTGATCTTGATGGAGGCTCCAAACTCTCCTTATATGGCAGGCTAATTAAAATCTGTCAATATAATTCAAGCGTAATTGTGCGACACCGCAAGCGAGGTTCAGCCAGGTGACAACAGAAACATCCAGGGAAGTTGTGGCTTCTTCCCATTTAACCTGGTCCGTCTCAAACCACTGGGAAACAGTAAGTGACAACATTAACACCTATCATCCTGGAAATGCCAAGACAAAAATCAAGCTTTAATATTTAAAAACAAGTCTGGAATGCTTTCACCTTCAGGTCTTTGACTCTGCAATGGGTATGACCATCTACCTCATTTTTTTGCTCTTTCTTCTGCCTCTCTTTCTTTTGAGGAAAAATGTAACATTCATTTTCCAACAGCCACTTTTCTGCATTGGCTGCAGAATTTGAATGATGAAAGCTCAGCATTTAGATCACGTCTGACAAGCGCGGGCACAAGGCCACCGACCTTTCGCTACTACACGATGACCACGGATAATTAAAAAATTAAGATAGAGACCAGCAAGAAAAATGATGCATCGCATTGCATTAAATGTACTGCCAATTGAGCCTGGGAGCTGAGAGTTACAAATAAATAAATAAATAAATAAATCCTACAGTGAAAATTAGAGCAGCAAATTTAGTCTGCTTTGTGCATAAGAAGTTGCACGACATTTCCATGGGTAGCTGAGCAGAATTTGCCTGTATTTTACTGTGAAGCACTCTTAATGTATTTATATATTTATGTACGGAGCAGTAAATAAAGATATAACTTTATGGAGTTATAACAAGTCATCTGAGCCAAGAAGCCTTCAGAAAAACGAGTATAAAAGCCCAAAGATCCAGTAGGAAAATAAAGGTTTTCTATTCTAGCCACGAAGAAAAATAAAAAGACGAAAAAACCCGCCAATTATTAGTAGTCAAGCAAGTCCCAAAGCGTTCAAATTATGGAAGCACCGGAGGAGAAGCCGGAGCGGAGCCGGAGCGCCCGGCCGCACGCGCACCCCTTCCCCCAGCACCCACCCACCCACCGAGCCAAAGGTTAAGTCATTTAGTCAAGTTCAAAGCTCTTCAAAGAGCCCTTAGATCCAGATAAGCCCATATGTTACCGAAATTCTGTGAAAAGCTATTACTTTCCAATCTGCTTTTCATGTCTAAGTTACAGAACACACAGATGCTTGGCATCACTCGGATCCCTAAATTCTCACACCAGATAATCAAGGCTCGCCAATAACTTTCCTA